CCGCTTCCAACTTGTCCGTCCGAATGCTCGTGGGTAGCGCCTGGTTAGCTATCGGTGCTCTCATCCTCTGGTGCATCATGACGTCATGGGAAACCAAGCTGCCGGATCATCGTTGGTATAGATTGATGTTTGAGTTTTTGGGCAAGGTTTGGGATCGATTACCTGCACCGACCGTACATTGGAATATCGTGGAGAGACTCAGTAACATAAATTGGCCGTTCCGAAGGCCTTCGATGGACTCGGAGAAGACGGCTGTTGACAAATCTGAGGTATGATTTAGGGATAACGAACCAAAGACAGGTACTCGTATATATATGTTATTGTATTGTCTGTGCTGCATAACTAATATCATCTGTATCGATAGTTTTCTGCCGTCTAAATCATGCTGATCGGCTGACAACGGCGATCGATTAGATTCGATTGAATTTCGATCACACACCGCTTTCCAACGGCGGCCTTGACTTCGAGTTCGACTGTACTTACGACCTATTAGCAAACGTACAGCTCAAGTACAGCTTATAAGTTTAGGATCTATATTGTCGCCTCTGGCTGTTTTAGGCACTGCAGCGACCCTATCTGGACGATGAGGCTATTCCGACATCGAGCTTGTTCTCGTTCTTCGAATTCCACTTGAAGTTCCTATATCGTTGCTAATAATATATCAATTTTAAGGCGCCTTACGGTTCGTGCTGTCCCTCGCGTTAACGTAATTCCAAGGCTATTCTCGTTAATGAATCACTGGTTTCACAGTTTTTATTAGTTGTTACGAATAGGAAGTGAAGCGAGGTGGAGCAGTACTTAAAAGGAATCGGTTCGACGGAACGATGTACAGATATCAACCGTTAATAACAACAGTACTGCATATTTTTCTCCCTGTACCTGATACCGGATAACCAGTCAAAAAGACCCAGTTTGAACGCCCTGAGTAACATCCTCCTGTAAATTAAACACTAGGTCCAACAGATGTTATCTGGCCTTTTTTTGACTGCTATTCCAACTATCCGATGAGGGAGTAGCTCAACGACGTGGGCCTGGCGCAGGCTTAGTGTCGGGCTTGGGGTCAGGCTTAGGTTTAGGCTTAGGCTTAGGGCTAGGCCCAGACTTAGTGTCAGACTTAGGGTCATCGCCCCTTACTGGTGGTTCTATCCGGCCCTTTGGCACCATGCTGCTTTCCAAGATCAGCAGACATAAATTATAAAAATAATACGGAAGCTCACTTTGGTGGCAGAGGTGGTCCGAAGGAATCGTCTGGGTCAAATTCAGCACCATCCTCGTGCTTCATGTCCGACTCAAAGTTTCCATCCTTCAAGGGTGGGTCTTGAGTTCCTCCGCCTTCTTTAACGGCTTCCTTGACAGGCAGATTTTCAGAGGGTTGATTAACGTTCTCTGACTGTGTCTGTGTGGGGACGACGACGGTGGAATCGTCGGTGGATTCTGACGCTTCCCTGGCGCTTACAAGTAGAAGTGAGTTAAAGTGTTTCCACTGTCAATGAGTAGAAGTAATAATACCTTGAATCTACAGTTGGGCTCATTCGAGCTGGGTTTGTGCAAGAGGTCTGGGTGGGGACTATGATGTGGTAAGAGACAAGAGCTGGAACTCAACGCTGGCGTCTAACAGCACTTTATATTTCCATCGCCAGCGTCTACATGAAACATAAGCGATCCAGCCGGGATCGGCATCATTGTGTTATAATATTGCGGAAAGCTTGGGTAACATAAACTAGCCGCTCTGAAGGCCTTCGATGGAACCAGAGAAAACGGCTGTTAATGCATCTGAAGTATAATCGAGAGGCGAAGGACTGAACACGGGTGCATGTATATATTTTTCGTGATGCTTATTGCTAATAGCTGTTCAGTATTATCTTGCACGAATCGCGACGATTGACTTGCGACCGGGTTCCGCTACGATGGTTTTACAGACGAGATCAAGACGAGATGCTATGATACTGATCGGTGACTCCGATTGGATTCGATCGAAGTTGAATCTTCGATCACACAGCTTTCAGATGGTCTTTGAGTATGAGCGAAGTTCAAATGGACGGCTTCCTATACCTAAGTAGTAGCCGCACAGCTTACTCTTCTGGACTTCATAGCATCGCCGCCTCCTGGCTGTTCCAGGCGCTGTAGAGATCCATAATTTGGACGCTACTTTCTGGGATCTGTTCTTATTCTTCCAACATCGCCAATATATCAATACCACACTGGTCTTGTACGGCCGTCCCTGACGGTAGCTATGCTTTCAGAGGCCATTTTTGGAAGCGAGTCATTGACAGAGGTATATTCAGAATCGGCGCGGATCCAATGAGAAGTGAAAACACTCAGAAGTACTGCGAATACGGAAATGAAATTGGTGGAGCAGTGGTATTGAAAAGTGTTGTATTTCGGACTTTATCCTAGTACAATGCTTGTAAGACCTTTAGTATTTGGGTTACAAACTCGTGAGGAGTTTGCCCATTGACTGCTCATATTTATACTAAACTACGCCTATTCTAGTAATTTCTATACAATCATTTTCTTACCAATCTCTTAGTCAGCATGCCGGATTGCCGGATTGCCAGAATCATCTCGCACTTTCCGACAAAAAGGACGCAATGTTAAATAACGAGGGGCTCCAGAATCAACGATAAGTAAGAATTCGGGTAATATCATGCAGGGACCGTGTATGTACTTTGATGCCGGATACATTAATCAGAAGACCTAATTCAACCGTTTCAACAGGCAGGTAAGTAACGTTTTCCCAAGAAAAGTGCTGATTCTAACTAAAATCGGTCCATCAACGCCAATAACTAGTGCGGGAGTAACTCAGCGAGGGCGAGGCTTCCCAGGAGGGGGCCGCGTAGACCCAGTTACTGGCGGTCTTAGTGGTCCCTTGGGTATTATGCTGGTTTTCGAAGTCAGCAGACACGTAAAAGATCAAGACAAGATAGAAGTTTACCCGGGTAGTGGAGGTGGTTCGAAGGAATCGTCCGGGTCAGACATAGTATCACTTTCGAGCTTCATGTCCGACTCGAAGTTTTCATCCTTCAAGAGTGAGCCTTGAGCTCCTCCACTATCTTCAACCGGTTCCTTGACAGGCAGATCATCGGACGGTCGGGTAGCTTTCTCAGCCTGTATCTCCTGTGTGGGAGCAACAACGTTGGGATCGTCGGTGGATTTTGGCTCTTCTCTGGGGCTTACAAGTGGAAGTGAGTTAAAGTGTTTCGGCCGCCAACGAATACAAGGAATAATACCTTGTATCTACAACTGGATTCATTCGAACTAGGCTGGAGTTGAGGTCTGGGTGGAGACTATGATGTGGTAGGAGGCGAGAAGCTGAATACAACACTGGCGCTTAGCAGTAGTTTATATTTCCGTTCCCGGCGCTTAAATTGGGCATAAGCAGCGATCCAGTCGGAATCGGCTCTTTGCGAATAGAAGCATTCATGAGAGAATGGTCAAACAAGACAACGAAATGTCCCAGGAACTCGAAAGTGTTGATTATCGTATTCGGACCTGTGTAGACAATTGAGGCGAAGGAAGTGGGAATTTTAAGTATTATAAGAAGCAGAAATGTTAACCCAAAGAACGACTTACAGATTCCAAAGACCTAGGAGTGCGTATGCATATACTGTGCCCAGCTTAAACGCCCCCGAAGTACCATAATCGATTCTCCAACCGGGACCTGAAAAACTGCGACGAAGTAGACTGTCAGATGGCGATCATAAGAACATCTAGGGATCTATTCAGTCCCGATCGTGTTCTATTACACTTAGAAGGCTCTTTGATGCGAATCCTGCTTTGGGAAGTCTGGCGCCGTCGCATCATATTCTCAGAGGCGCTTCATGAATCGAAAACCAAGGTAGATACTAATCATGATGAGCGTGAAACATGAACAAGGTCAAAATGTAACTCGACGTAGGGAAAGCGAGTAAATTCAGTGGATGCACTAATGTAAACGCCGTGAGGAAGAGGTATGTGTAAGAAGAAACTATAGACTGTCAATGACTAGGGGATGAAAATCTGGGTGTCCTGGCGCCCTCCGATGTTCCATCTAGGCACGACTGCCACCCGTATTGGTAGGTAACTGAATGGATTTGGAGCCTGCCTTTTGAGCGGATTTGGAGTCAGTGGATTTGGTGCCAGTGGATTTGGTGCCCGATCCTGGCAGCTTGTTCTTGCCAGAGGATGATGCATAATTTCTGCCACTGTTAATTGGGACAGTGCTTTTGGCCTTATCTTCCTGCTGGCCGCGAGGAGAAAATTCTCTGCAAGCGCTTGTTCAAAACAGTCGAAACGATTGCCCAGCTCTTGACACTTACTCTGAGTCGAAGGTGGAGCTAAGAGGGATACTAGTCAATGAAAGATAATTTGAAACGTCAAAGTATCCAAAGACCTTGGTTTCAAGGAGTCTACGGTTGATCCTTGCCCGTTGATGAATGTACTACTATGAAATGGAGATCAGCGGTTCAAATCATGTAACCAGACACTAACCGAAAGTCGTCACGAGTATCGATGGCCGTCTTTTTGGCTAGAGACCAGATAGATTTGAAGAATGCTTTAGGGGCCATGTCTGGAAGAATCTGGGGGGTATGTCCACTGTCCAGTCGTCCAGATTTTATAACTAACAAGCAGAAATATAGCTATGTTATGGCTGTTGAAGGCGGTCCTTGATAACAGCAGACATCCGTGGTACAATCCCGGCGAATGGGTTAGGCAAAAAAAAAAAAAGCCAGACGGTCTACGCATTACGTAGCGCTAGTATCGGCAAAGCGTTAACTGGGGACTTATAGTGAAGGTATCTCACTGCCGCGTCAACAGGTTTCTTGATGAGCGCTTGCTGATTGACACGATGTTAAGTGTTTGAAGTGTATCTTGGCTCAAAAACTGATTGCTATGCTAGTGTTGTTATCTTGTATTCATAGGAAAGAAACTGCAAAAATTTCAGTTGTTTTACGCCAAGCGGTTGCCAACGGAGAATCACCTCGAGGTTCATAATGCATCTGCGAATGACATGCGATTGCGACGGAGGAATTGGAGTCACTAACGAAAAAGAAACTGATAAGAGCATCAGGTGCGCGCGATAGAACATATCAACAAAGAAAGACAGCGGTGACGCGCGTTTATTGAAAAAGCTGTCGACCCTTACAGGTGGCAAAAAAATTTTCAATGAAGCGTCTATTGTAGGCGACCATATCAAACAAATTTACAACGGGAAGACCGTAATATCGATAATAGGATAGTCACAACTACCTCGGACCTGGTTTTGGACGGGGCTTATTGCCTGCTCCGCCTGCGGTAGGTCCAAGCGGCCGACCTTTGTACACAAAGCTATTGATACGCGTGAGTGACGCTCAAGACTGGACCAGATTAAGGATTTACGCAGGGGGCATAGGGGGGCCCAATGTATCATCTGAGTCGTCTTGCGACTGCTGTTCCTCTGAGTCCTTATCTTCCTTCGGCACGGGATCATTTTCTGCAACGCGATCGACACCTTTGACAGGCAGTTCTTGGGATGTCTGATCATCGGGATGATCTCTTGGTAGCTGTATTTCCTTCTCCCGCTCCTCCACCTGTACAGAGGCCTTAGAATCGCCAGTACGGCTGTCAATGCTAAGCGCTTCTCTAGCGATAACTGTGTCAGTCGGAGTACAGCCGTTGCCTAATCAGAGAAGAGTACATACTTCGTATCTTCTTCAGTCATTGACAAAAATGGTTGGCAGAATGAGCTCACAGGCGATATGGGAGTAAGGCGTCCTTTGATGAATCCGTAACATTTCAGCGCTAAAGCAGTCAAGAGCGAAGTCCGATTTGGGATCGGCAATTCGCGGTATGCACGTGACTACATCGAACTTTAGACTTGGCCGGGAGAACCCGGGACGTTCGCTAATGCTCGGAGGGATCGATCCGAGCCGGATCTTACGCCGACGGAGCTCGAAAATGTACGATTCCAGTCTCGGTCCCAGGCGACACTGCATTGTTAGGCGACATTCTTTCTCCACAGCAACAGTCGCAACAGTGCCTCTCTAGATCAATTTTGTACGTAAATAAATACATCGCCCTTGTATATAAACCATCCCTTCAACAGTCAACCTAACACTCTCAAGATCTTAAGCGATGGACCCAACCCTCTTCTGTATCGAAAAGAATCCTGTCGTCTCATCCGTCCTACCAGAAGGCACTCTGAGGCCCATCACCTCAAATGCCACCGGGAGATATGACAACGAATGCATGTAAGCATTACTGTTCACAAGAAATGTATCTGGTACCTATTCACTCTTGCAGAACTGTCAGCTTGAATCCAGCATTGATAAATCCAGGGTTTCGCGAGCCTGAGTATGCCATTTTCAGATCTTTGATGTATGCAGCTATCTTACCACTATTTTTTACAGACCGACATATCTACCGCCTCATTGGACCTCCCATGTTCACCCTGAAGGACAACTGTACTTCTTTCGAGATGCTCCCTTCTCTGTGGTCACCGAGGCTTATCTGTTTCACACAGAAACCATGGCGAAAGTCACTTTCTGGGTCAAGCGGATAGAGAGCCTTCTAGACGAAAAGAATATCAAAGTCTCAAGCAGCATGGAACTATTCATCAAGATCGAAGAAGACGACTGTGCCTATTATTTCGTTGACCACGCCACGAGAATAGAATTTTGGTTGGATGCCACCGAAACAGACGCCCTCGGGCTACCTGACGTGGCCTCGCCATCTCATCTCAGTACGGTTTTCAAGATCATCGACGTACTGCGTGTCTGATCGTTGTATACAGGAATTTGTCTAGAAGGCTTATACTGGGCTCATGTTGAACATTTCCCCATGCACATTGGAGGACTCCCAAAGAAAAGTTATGATGATCTCATTTGTATCTTCAACCATGGACTTGCTGGTAAGCAGCGTGCAGTAGTTGCGCAAATTACCAGAGACCGACAATTTACGCAGACCATATGACCTCAAGTGTTTCCACCTTTTTCTACTCACAAGGAGAATGTGCGACATTTTTGAAGGTTCTTCGGTCTGGCAAAGGTGGGACCGAAATCATTGACATCGAGCTCCCTTCATGACGCCCCGAATGATAGATCATAATGAAGACGGCCATCAAACCTGTGTCACTGCGCGACTCTGGAGCATTGTTTGTAAGAGTGACCCATATTCTCCATTAGTGACTGTTTTTGATTTCCGTCTCAGCTAACCATAGATTTTCGGTGTACTACGGCCAAGAATTTTCCCGTCTATCTCGGGACCAGGCAGTTCTTTTCCATCCAGAGGAGAAAGTTTTCCTCGAACGCATGGTTTCCTTCCTATCTCTGAGAAATTCGGCGTCCTACTCGAGGCAACTGGAAGACTTATTCGTAGACCGCCTTGTCTATGTAGACCAGTGGCGGCCTTTCATGTCCAAATGCCTACAAGAATGGAAAGATGCTGTTCTCTTTGTATGTATCCCTTACTCCTTCAAAGAACGCATCCGCTGACTAAACTCCGTGGTACCCAGACGTCATCCACATTCATGTAAGCGTAGCGCTGCGATCAAGCTGCACGACACTCAAAGTTTCCGTTTCAGTCTTCACGTCCCGCTTGCTTTTGGCCCGAGTCTCCCGGTGTTGACGGCCGTTTCCATCGCATTCTTCAGCGCCAGTCTCATAGCGTCAATGCTCCTAATCCATCGCCACAGAGAGCTGGAAAAAGCGAGTGCCAACCAGGCTGTGAGTGACTATCATTTACTAATTCAACTGTCGCGCTGACAATTTAAACAGTCTCAATATCTCGAATCAGTCTATTCTACCAAGAACCAATTTCAACTTGTCGCATTGATGTATTCCCTTCCAACTTCCCTACACTTTTGGGGTCTAGGAGCGCTTGTCGCCAACTGTATCATTATTGTTTCCCGTCTTTTTGGTTTGATTTCTGGCGTTATTGTGTCTATTGTCCTGCTTCTTGCTCTGCTCGCCTTCGAGATAATTACAACCGAAAAAGAGGTCTCCTCCTGGAGGTCTATCTTCCATTTTCGATCGCGGAACGAGACTAATGATCTGGTATAAGTTATGTACTTTGTATTAAACCTATTAATTGTATACCTACCAGCCTACACTAGACAACAGACGATTTCAATCACATGCAAGACGGGCTCTTCAATCTGCAACGCCGGCACCGATGTCACCTGAATCGAAGATTGGACTACACCAGACTACACCGCCCATGGACTCCTTGACTTCATTTTGAACCGGAGTCCTTCCTCCGTCACATCTAACTGTCCGACGACTCGAGACATATCATAATCATTCACCGTTGCCCTTCGAACACCGCCCAACGGGGAAAAACTCCGCATCCTGTCCAACTATTGCTCGCACTCGGATAAATTTCAAAACTGTAACTGACGTAGGACTGATCTAACGAACTGCCTACAGCGCCGGTCCACCGCACTTCTTATAGTACCGCCCCTTACTATTAGCATGAGAGGCATCGTGCTCTCGTGACGGGTGGCCCTGGGCTTAAGGCTGCGGCGCCATTCGTACAGCTTGCATTGCCCCTGAAATTTTATCGCGTTCATTCGGACTTGGTGAGTAGACGATAATCTTGTTCATAAGTACCGATACCTCCTTCCATTACGGCGACTACAGCATCAGGACTACTCCATAAAACTCCCTATTACTCCAACTGATCATCGTCCTTCGTGAAACATATAACCCCGTCCTCGGTTCCTGGCGCGACCGCTGTCAGCTGAGACCCCGACGGAAAGCGATCCTCCATCAATTGGACAAAGATAGAGTACGACCGAGTTCTTCCAGGACCCTTCACTCACTGCGGGCCTAGCGGATTGATTTATCCGTTGTCACACGACTATTCCCACTGCTGCTGGAAGCTGTGGTTCCTATTCGTGGTTTCGCAAAAAAGGTTGCGTCGCATGCTGTGCCTGTGGGTATCGCTCCATGCATCGGAGTCCGGAGCCGACGCATCGGTCACATCAGCATCGCTTATGACCTGCTAGGCCCAGCGCACAGTACGACAACACAGCTATGTGATCACCGCATTCTGATTTCTGATTTGTTGCTGGCCATCTGCAAATTTAACGTCACGGACACGATTCCCCTAGGAGTTGCAGTTGCTTCTTTTCTCGAAATATATCCTTGTGACTTATTGACTGCTGTACGAATTTTATTACGCACTTCGCATCAAATCTGTACAACATCTAATGGACACAGGAATGTAAGTGTATGTGACCTCTAGATAGTCCAGAAAAGTCATGTCCGCTACCTCAAAACGCGCTCGGATTATCCTGGAAGAAATTTCCCGACAATGCGGTCGAATAATCCCAATTTGGATCAATCTCACGGCTCAGTTTATATTTTTGCAATATGTCCACCGTCTTGTTGTCGTCCCTTTTCCCCTTGAGCATCGCATTTTTGGGGATAGGCGGCAACGTCTCGAAAATACCTCGTGCCACCCGGACTTGCTCCAGGTAAGCATCGGGCTCTAGGCGATGTCGGTACTTGGTCTCGTTTGTAACCACTCCTTCGATCGTACCGTGCTCCCTGATAAATTGGTACGCACGCACGGGCCCAATGTTCTT